AATTTTGCTATGACATATTCCAGGGGTTCAGAGAGCGAAAGTGAGTGTAACCCCTGGAGTGACGAGGATGGCAATGGCTTGACTAAGAAGGATCCACTTGTACACAGAAACAATAATGTCTGGATTAAACTAGGCTATACTACATAGAAACCATACAAAGAAGGCAAACTGTCAAGACTTAGAGGATCCACTGTGTGCAAAAAACAGTAGAAACCCAGTGGCCAGTCTGATAAATTCCAAAGTACGCAGACATTTTGAGCCTATACAGACGGAATCCCACCATACATAGAAACCAAGGTGTCTGCCAACAATAGTCAACTATATATTAAAATATTACCTATACCAAAATGCTTTTTCTGAATGTGCAGATTATTGCTTTTGAATGTATTCCTTCCATGATCCATTTAGAAAAAAAAATCAATATTTTATCTTTATAAACAATGATGAAAATTAATGTAACAATTGATCTAATTTCAATTTTCTACTAAATTTTCAATCCAATTAGGGAGGCAGTTGACTGCAGATGAGAGTGGTCTGGTTAATCTTTAAGCTTTCTATACAAGGTCCTCAGCAGCAGCAGCAGCGAGTCAATCAGGGGATACTGTTGGTAGATGTCGTCATCTCCGCAGGTTCAGTTCCTGAAAATGTAAAACGATTAGTCAGAACATGTGAAAATACTATCCTCAAATAATGCCCCCGCTCCTAGTTTGAACATTTGGGTCTAAATAAGGAGGCTTATGGGTGGATATAATCTTAGTTATTTTACAAATCAACATGCTGCTTGAAACAGGATGGGGCTTATTTGCTAGCACAGGCTTATTTGCAGATAAATATGATATTAAAGAATTCAACACTGCAGCCTCTGACAGTGCAGTGTATATAAAATTCTTCGGATTTCACCTCTCTTTTTATATATTACCAAATTTATAACTCAAATATACACAAGCTTGAAATCATCCCCATTTAAAAATTTCATTAACTGAAAATATTTTATTATTTCAAGATGTATCATAAAAGATCAAATTAAATATCTTTAACAAGGCTTGCTGTCTTTGGAAACAATAATTTCAGTTAATTTTGTAAAGAAAAGTATTAATTCTGGGTGTTTATGATTAGTTTGATAGCTTCGAGATTAAAAGACATAATTATCCGCAGGAAATATTTGTTGAATACTAGTCATAATCTAACTACACTTGTTGACCTACTAACACGGGATGATTGTATAGCAAAACCTGAGCTTTTTGACATCAACGTAAACTTGACCTTCAGGTCAGATATATGATATTGTGTCTGGAAAACCAGGGTAGACAAAAAAAATGAGTTTTCATCGATCATGTTAAATATTACAGAAGTCTGGTGTTAATGAAGATCAAACCAAGTTTTATTTTAACTGATTTGTGACTTTCTTAAAATCACTTTTGATATATCTTGAATTTCCACGATTGTGATAAACTGTAAAATCAAGACTCCCGCAGCTAACTTCTGATGTGTAAAGGGAGCTGGTTTCTCCACCGATAAATGATATTGTATGTTTGGTCACATTCTAATTCAATAGATATCTTGCTCCTATGTTAAAGTTAGACTGGAATCCAAATATTTGTGCCTAACGCCAAACCTCGACCGCCTTGATCCGTCCCTGGTGCTGCCAGCTGAATGAGAGGAGGACCTGGATCTACTGGTGTCACGTCGACGGTCCTCGGAAGAACGTGACCTGAAACACAATTTTTCTTTAAGCTACATTTTTACTCTCTCATTTGAAAAAGGACACATCATAAGAAACATTTTCAATATCTCCTGAAGTTGTCATTAAAATCATTTAGATTATCAAATATCATCAATACAGCAATAATTCAGAAATAAGACCACTACATCATAGTAGAATTATCCCCTTTATCACCAAACCTCGACCTCCCGGATCCTGTCGTCCTGTCTCTTGGCGACCTTGACCGTTCTTTGAGCTTCTTTGATTTTGGAGACTTAGATCTGCAACAGGTATAACGGTACAGAACTATTAACTTGATCACAGATTTTTCTGAAATTCAGGAATTGCGCTTATCATCTTGTACACAAAACTATCGGTAGAGCTTCAATTCTATGCTATAATACTTTGATATGCAAACAACGAATATTACAGATTTTTATTCAATATAATTACAGGTGTGTAGCTTTCTTATTGTTATGAGCTACCTTATCCATTATCACTATGATTATGTGTTAAAGAGTTATCTCCCATTAGTATTTTAGAATTATTCAGATTCTTCCTTGTGTAACTTGCAAATGTGTTCATAGATAAGTCCATCTAAAATTTCCTTATTTAGTGTGGAAGTTTATGAATAGTGTATTTCAAAAAAAGGTAGCATAATGCCTTAATTAAAATTACAACTTTTCATGTTATGCTGTATATGTGTCTGGAAAGAGTAAGATTTAACAACATCAAAAACAGCAACTAAGATGTCAAAGAAAAGTAAAGATTCAATAGTGATATTGACCTTTTGACCTCTACCCTTTACCCTTTCCACCAAGTTACCTGGACCTAGACCTATTGCTTCTCTTCCTTCGGTTCCTTGAGGACGAACTAGAGCGGGAGGAGGAGCTAGATCTTGAGGAGGAGGAGCTAGATCTTGAAGAAGAACTAGAAGACGAATTTGATCTCTTGTCATCCTCTTCTTCACTTTCGTTCAAGTCATATTTACTTAAATCCCCTTCCTCCTCTTCTTCCTAGAAAAAACAACAACCCATCCATGCAGTCATACATACCTATGCAACCACCTACCTAGCAATTACTTATTAAACTCAGGTGACACACCAAATTAATTCATACAATATATATTTTTACTCTTAAAGATAATTCAAACGAAATTGTAACAATCTATACAACTCTTCAGGTAGAAGATGATTTTGAGGAAAGATGCTGTGTTGAAGTCCCTTGGCCCAAGGATGTTCCAGACCATATTTAGATAAAATCTCATAACCACCCATACTGAAGATATAGTATTTTAAAGATTTACCAAATTTCCCCATTTGGGCCCATCATATTTATATAATTATATGACAGTCTTGGCCTTAACTCTTTTCTCTGTTTACTTCTGCCAGAACTTTTTTTTTTACCATTGAAATAAAGTGTTCAAGGACATTACCATGGGAATGCTAATAAGTTGAATATTGCCAACAAAAGTTACATTCATATCCCTTTTTTCAGAATTGAATTTAATAGATACTTTTAAACCATTCACCCCTGAAGACACATTTGAGCTCTTTCAATTCAAAGACAAAGGTTGGAATAGTTCATCAAGATATGTCAGGGGTAAATGAGTTAATTACCTCCTCTGAATCAATCTTGTAGTTTGAAATATCTCCGTCCTCCTCTTCTTCTTCCTCCTCTTCTTCATCTGCTTCCTCCTTTGATTCCACCTTATTGTTCTGTGGAGTTACGGCATCAGAACTGTTTTTTCTGAACTTTTTCTTTCTACGACCAAACTGTCATAAAAATACAGTGAAGACAATAACAACAAATCACAGAGAAAAGTCACTAATTACAATGGCAAATGATGTGTACTATCCCTATGATCAACAAACTATTTATTACAAGAAGCCCGAAAGATTCATTGTGTATATACTAGATATAAAAAGATCTTGGTTATGCCTACAATCAACACATTATATATTACTGGTGGCCTATAAGTAACAGGAGATATGACCATCTTGCAGCACTATATTTACACTTTTGACCCCCCTATGTGTGACCTTGAACTTAACTTGCAAAATGAAAACTCAGGAAATAGAATACAGGGAAATGTAATAACAGCATTGTAAAACAACGTCTGATGTATGAATAAACTTCTAAGGAAGCACCCACATGTTAACTGTTGTAACATGCAGGCTGTCGCCCATCCAACTACTGACCACGCTCGACGTTTGGGAACTAGTGAGCGGGTCCCCGGGTATACTGCATCACTGCAAAAGCTAGCGTGCCAGTAAGGCAGTATTTTCCCCTCACCTCATATTCCTTAGCTGTTACACTATTTCCCCCTCCAAGAGACTCGGCCAGGGGAATGCCGTAGGTTCTCTGTGCGTATCGATGCACGTTCCCTAACCACCGGGAACAGGCCTTACATGGTCACTACGCTACCACCAAATGTAACGTGCAGGCTGTCGCCCATCCAACTACTGACCACGCTCGACGTTGCTGAACTAGT